TTGGGCTTAATTAAAAGATTGGGCTTGTCCCATTCCAAATATAATAAAAATGAGGCTTAATTATTAACCTGTGGGTAAGTATGAATGTTTCACTTGGATAAGATACTGGAACACATTACCATTTCAAATGATTGAACTATCCTTTACAAGGTACATGCCAAATGGATGAAGAGACAGTCAGACCTTTTCCAAGTGTAGAACCTCACAGCTTGCAGATCCTTGATTACTTCACATCCATATAGTAAAATCCTTTTCACATTGCTATGCTATTCACACTACCCCTTCTGTCATCTGACCTCTGTGGGGGCCCCAGCTTCAAAAGATGTAACCCCTGTTGACCTCAGCAATAGCATCTCTGTAATTTGTGCCATTTACTACACAAATTACATTAAAAGATGATATTCCATAGTGTAATAATAAATTATACATCCTTGCCGTGACAATCAGAACTGCTGATTTTTAGCCAATCCAATGCTTTCCCATAGGGAAAGCATTGGATTGGCTAAAATCGGCAAGGAGGCGTGATAGGGGCAGGGCCAAATGCAGTTTTGTCTAATCAGCACTTTTACATAGAGATGCATTGAATCAATGCATCTCTATGAGGAAAATTCAGCATCCCCATGCAGAACGTGGAGACGCTGAACGGCAGTGCTGCTTACTGTGCAGCCCTGAGCCAGGAAGCACCTCCAGTGGCCATCTGAGGAGTGACTACTTGGTGGTGTCCCTTGGGGCAATGTATACACTGCCTTTTCTCATGAAAATGCCTGCATATAATGATTATACTCACCAGAACAACTACATTAAGCTGTAGTTCTTGTGGTGACTATAGTGTCCCTTTAACATGTTAGTATTTCAAACACCAATTCTTGGCTCCTGAATCAAAATATATGGGTACAGCTGAAAGTTTGCAAATGATTCTATATTTTTTTCTAGTGACTCTTCACAGGTAGACTGGCTGTGTTCCACTGCAAAGTGAAAGCATTAATCTAGAGCAGGCACAGGCAACCTTTGGCACTCCAGATGTTGTAGACGACATCTCCTGCAATGCTCTTACAGCCATAATGTTTGTAAAGCATCAGGGGAGATGTTGTGCACAACATCTGGAGTGCCAAATGTTACCTACCCCTGATCTAGAGTAATACACCACTGCCATGCTTTATGTTAAATGTAATTGTTGTTATTTCAATAAAGATAAAACCACATCTCAAACAGACAATGCTTCAAGCTCACGGCATCTCAGACCACCAGTGATCAAGTTGCAACATAGTTGCACTTTAACAAGAGTGAATTAAAACTACAATGCTGTATGGTTAAATAGGGGTGTACCCACTAGTTGATTAACAAGCTGTAATCACAAAGTTCAAGTAAACTCCCTTTCAAAGTCCAAAGACTCTTTTTTTTTTTTTTTTTAATGAATGGATCAGCTCACCGCTATCTGGGTCCAGGGGTACATTCACTAAACCAGGGCGCAACAAATTTGCTTAGAATCCAGGAGCCAGCTAAAAGGTTTTTTAAACCTTAGAAAGTTGTATTGTCAACAACAAACGTGTGAGGGAGCAGAGCAAGAAGATCTCAGCTTCCTCGCTGCCTGCCTTCAAAACATGCAGCCGACCACCCGCCGCTACTCTCCCCCACCCGATTGCCTGCCCACCTTAGAGAGAACAGGCTCATAAATCCTAAGCCAGGACAGATTTCCTTTGTCAAATCCTGCAATAAAATATTACACATTTTTAAATTCTGAAAGAGACCAAAATGTAAGCAGAGCAAAACAGTAAAAATAAAAAACTCCCTCTAGTGGATAATCTTGGAAAATACATCTCACAGTAGCCAAACACTTAATTGCAGTTTATAGAATGTGATTGTGAAGAAAAGAGACTTTTCATTCAAGACTTTTTAGGGCCATCCATTACTTTTATGCTTTATTAGTTCGGTAGATGAAACTAACGAACACCGACCACCCCCCTGGCTCATTATCTACAAAGGAAACTGTTGATTGAGCGCTCTCTCTTGGTGGCCGCCGTTCGTATAGCCGAACGCCACGTGGAAGAGAAAACATTGGCCATCTTGTTCACACGAAAAGCGGCAGCGGGACTTGGTTGTCAAGTATCGGAAACTAAAATCGAACACTCAACTTCCCGAACACCGGTAAAAACATACAAACGCCTGCTTCCTTTTCACGAACAGCTAGGAGAGCACCGTTTGGTAGTTTAGTTCCCACGAACAAAAGGAACAATCGCTCCTATGAGCCAATGGGGTCTGTTCGTGCTTTCATTCGTTTATGTGACTTTATCGAAATAGACAGACCACACAGCCTAAACTCATGGAACTGTTTTGGGCAGGAGCCTCGTGTGTGGTCGGTAAAATGGGACTTCCATACAATTCGAAAACCCCTGAACTGATTTGGGTGATTTTTTTAATATGTTGGTCACCCAGATCAGAGCTATCAGGGAATATGTGGGGATACCATGTGTTTTAGGGTACTTTCCAAGTTTGGGGAAAATGTTTTTTCTGCCTGGAGATAATTGGGCTATCCTTTAGTTGACTTAATTATCTCACAGGCAGAGAGGAGGGGATTGTATGTTTGCAGTGTGAGTGTTTCACTTTGTCAATGTAATATTATTGGTTGTAACCTTTGTACTGGTGCCCCACAAGGTCCATGTGGGAGTTTCTCTTGCATGGGGACTTGCATAAAAGCCATGAAGTCTAGGCTCATGTTTGGGTAACTATCTACTGGCTGGGGAGAAACTACTAGGAAGCTGCATTCGTCTGGAACTATTCGTATCTACACACTAACTGCAGCTATAATCCCTAAGGCTCAGCAGTTCGGGAGCAATAGGCAAACAAGGTACTTTAAATACCAGCATTCGTAACAGTGATACAAGAGTGTATAAGAAAAAAACACATGTTAACAGTCATATAGATACTTATAAAGTCCAGCTCTCATTTTCATTGCCTGATTCAATATCGCCAACAAACACTCCAAAATGACTGTCTCACTGTTCTAATATATAGACTAACTGATAAAATGAGTTTAGTTTATTGTAGCAGAGCAAAAGACAAATGATTGTAACATTTTAAAGTGACACAACTTATTTCCAAACCTAAAAGCACTTTATGTACATGAAAACGTAGTTAGATAAATGCAGTAATAGAGCGCTCTTGCAAAAAACTGTATTGGGAAAAAACAATATTCTGTATGGAGTTGCAATATCTGTTCTATATCTCCTAATGTGGAAATTGTGTTTTGGTCACGCATAAGAGAACACAAGATTCCAGTGTTATAGAGATATACTATACATTTGATCTTGTGCACTACCTTAAAGAATCTCTGGATCACGCCATCCATTCCAGTGCATCTTTTCTCATCTATTGTGTGTATAATCTTTGACATACATGTCCTGTAGTAAAATGTTGAGTTGCTGTAAACTTCCATCCTTTTACTAAATATGAAAAATTAATACCCTTTTAATAAAATAAATAAAACTGTTGATTTCACATCCTGAGCTCAGTAGAGACAGATGATCTTAAAATAAATTGTGTTTTCAATAGAAAGATGATGGTGCATCTTGTACGTTGTTCTGCCATCCTCAAAGCTCCGAATAAGACCATCTTGGGAATTTATAATAAAGAAATGTTTCTCTGGAGTTTATGTTGGAGTTTATGTGGAGTTTATGTTTCTGGTATAATAACTGCTGAAATAAGAACAAAATGGCACACATTCTGCCCTGCGTCTATGTATATCCAGTGAACCATATTTAATGCCTAGTTCTCATTTGCAAGTTTATAAAACAGTGTCTTAAGAAATGCTTAGAATTGTGACATGTGGACTAATATGCCCAGTTAGCTTTGCTAAACACTTTGTTTATACAAAAACATTTATACATATCCCTGGCTTAGATCATCTACTTCATCCCTTTCTACTCCACACAGGAAGCATTAATTGTTTTTCTATAGCACTATATGTTAGTGCATCTCTGTGCATTACCATTTTACAACCAAATAACTGCATCATTTTCAGGAAGAAATAGTCCTCTAAAAAGCTCTTCTACAGTTTGCGGAGATAGTCTATGAAACTATAATTGGCTGGAAAAGATGAGAAATTTAATTTCCAAGAAGAGAATAGAAAACCTATAAATCAAAGTGCGGCAGTACCGGTCCTTTCATTGCTAATTTATTATCTGTGATGCAGAACTTGAGCCTTTTGCAATTGTAAGTGGTTTATATTGAAGGAAAATTGTTTACCAGCCTCTTGTTGTGTTTCACAGTGAATAAAAAAGGCAGTTTGCCGTATTCCAAATATAAGCTCATATATATGCAAACTATTTTCCAGAGTAACGCTGAAATATTTTCTAATTACATTTTATATCTGTATTATACATTATGACCCATTTTGTTAGCTCATTTCTTTTATTTTACCTAAAGAGCTGGTTTGCAGTAGTTTCTTTATTATGGTTATATTATGGTTTCTTTATAATGTTATGTTTATGAAACGAATGATAAGTGAGTACTCTTCGTGAGAGGGCAGACAATGGGTGATAGAGGAACAATTGACTCCTAGTCCACAAGCATATCAGAGTGGTGGGCTGCAGCCCCACACTATTCTCCTGGGAATTATAATAGTAGGAGGTGCATTGGGAAGTCTGTTGGCAGGAGCAGGGCAAGAAGGATTTGCTCAGCATTTTGTACATGGACTGGTCGTCTCTTTGTTCTCCAGGCCTGGTGGCTCACTGGGAGGTTGCAGGATATACAATATCATATCTCACAGCCTATATTTGTTTAATTCATATATTGCATGTGGCATGTGAGTAGGACTACCTGCCAAGGGATTTGTGAGTTGTGTATGTAAAAAAGTCATACAGGGGGGCGGGTCTTAGCGGCAATCCAGCACAGACGCCATTTCTGGAGCTCCACAAACTTCACGGTACAATCCGCCATCCCTGCTAATCATCGACTCACCTGAGGACGAGCATTGGTTGCAGGAGAGGGAGAGGCATACACTGATGCCGTTCTTTCAGCCACCGGGCGCAGAACAAAAACGCTGGCCTCATAGGGCCTCCCATGCGGCCAGCCAGAAAACCGTGACAAATGCCTTTGAGGCCTGGTGGGACCAGGACTGGCTTACACCCGAAGCCCGGGAGACACGGCTCCAAGAGCCAGAAAAGATGGGAAAGAAAACCCAAAAACCCCAGGTACAAACATCAGGGAGAGCTCATGACATTGGCACACTGCTCCAACATGCACGCAAGCACAGGGAGCAAGACCGGGCCGCAACTGAGGCCTCTAATTCTCAGGAAGCAGAAGGGGGATGGTGGACACTCCAGGGTCTCCTACAACTAGACTCCCAGCCCCATCTACCCCAGCAAGCACGGTCCCAGCGACAAAACAAGACATAGACAACCTCTTTGTCAAAATCCAGCAGCGGTTCGCAACCGACATAGCCGCAGTATGGTCGGAAGTACAGGCGGTCACAACCCGCGTCCAAACCTAAGAAACAGAGATCACTGGCCTACAACGCAACCTTGCTATGGTGAGAGACTAGGCCAGGCAGCTGCAAGCACTCCACTCCACCCTGACACTGAGAGTGGACGCCCTGGATGAGAGAACCTGCCAGAAAAACCTGAAGATAAGAGGGGTCCCAGACAAAGTGGGGACAGAAGAACTACCTCACTTCATCATGAGGCTAGTACACACCTTGCTCCAGCAAAACAAGCCAAACAATTCATAAATGATGGTGCATACCGCATCGCCAAATCCCCTAAGGCACTACAAGGGACATAATCGTACGTTGCGGGACAAGACCAGACAAACAAGCACTGATGAGGGCAGTTCACGATAAGTCACCTCTGGACTTTGTGTCTCATAAAATATCGATCTTCCATGATCTGCACAGCTCCACCTTGCTATGGAGGAAAACTATGAAACCCATTACACTACGACTTCAAGAGGCAGGAATACCGTATAAATGGACTACTACTAGAGCCCTTATAGTCACCAAAGACGGCAAGCAACACAAGACCACTGATGTGGCAGAGGCCACCACCTTCTTGGCAGCGATTAGACTGGGAACCAACTGTGAGAGCAGAGGGCACAGGCCATCACCAGCACCTGGGACGTTGATAACATAACCCCTTCACACAAAGAAGTGGACTACATGCTGTGACATAGGGGAACAAAGCATTAGCAATACTGACACTTGCCTCATTTCTCCCCCATACTCCTCACACTACGCAACATGTATATTTTATCAGTTATTTAACCCCAAGGATGTCTATGCTAAATTCTGACGAATTCCAACAAAGGCTCCCATCGATAGCTAGCCCATTGTATCCCTCTTCCCCCACTGCCACCCCATAGGTTAGGGGTTCCGCTCAACCTCCACAACCCAGGGTTGACCCTAGCACCTTGACATTATGAACGGTAGCTAAACCTAACATGTTATAGGCACTGTACAAGAGCTTACTTCATTGAAGTTCCTTAGTCTCTCTTATTCTTGACCTTACTTTGGATTATAACATGACTTAACGACCAACTTTATAACACGCACCCGAAGATAACGAGACAGGCCACTTACACCTGACCACAGGTCGAATAGACAAACCCAGTTTCCCTGACTACGAGATATTATTAAATCTATGTTGTGAGAGGCGTTGTTGTTTAAGTACTTGAACTAGTCTAACATTACAAAAACAGGTGTACAAAAATGTCTACAATGTTATAAGAAAGTAGTTAATGTGACCTCAGTCTGTATTTCCGTTTTTTTTCTATGACTGTCATGTAGCACCACTTGCAAAAATAAAGAATAATAAAAAAAAAAGTTATTCAATTCTACTTGAATATTCCCCCCTCCCTCCTTTCCCCATCACCCAGGCCATAAATTGCTTGTGTTTACCTCTGATTCTTGATCAAAGATTTAAGACTTTTCATAGATGTGGCTGAATTCATATTTGCATTTTGTAGCTACATCAGTATAAAGTGAATGTAAACTGGAACATAATATTGGCGTAATTTTCTTTACTGATGGCATGGTAATGAAATTAATGGCAAAATTAATATAGCAAAACTCTAGCATGATGTGTTTTTCATAATGATTTAGTGATTTTAAAGGAACACTACTGAAAGTCACATATATTTGGCTACATGTTCTCATGTCTGTAGGAGTGGGATTAATTAATCATATGGTAGCGGTTACAAATGTTTAATAATAATTTCTGTGTTCAGTGGAGTGAATGCTACTGATCAGCTGAAATCCATACCAGTCACTAATTTTAAACATTTAGGAGGTATGCCTCCTCTTGCCATGTAGTTTCAAACCCATTTCCCCCCAGTAACTGGACGACACACAGCTCTGGAGGTACAACAGGAATGACTCAGTTTTATGTTACACATGGTTTTACAGACACAAACCCCTACATGGGGTCTCCAACACAAAACCGGGATTTCAATCCCAAGAAGCTGAAGAGGGAGGGAGGAAGGACAAAGCATCTAGGTTAAATTGGGCTGTCAGTGTCTCTGTGGCAACGTCCTGCTGTGACAGGAAAAGGGAGGGGGAAGGGGAGAGAGGTACAGGCAGACACTGCATTCACAAAAGGAAGGGGGGGGGGGAGAGAAGCACAGAGCAATACATTTCACCCCCCCTTTGTTGACCCACAGCTGTATGTACAGGCACAATAAACGAAAGACATAGAAATACAAGTGGGAACACAATACAAGGGAAAAATACATGAATAAGCAGTAGGCATGGTACTCAGTGACGGCAGTCCGTCACACCGCATAATTAACAGTTTCACTGCCGAAGAGTATATAGCTTTTTGTCTGTCGGCTGCTAGCATTAACAGCAGGCAAATGGTACTTAAAATTATAGTTTTCTTACAAAAAGTGAATGATAATTTGTGGATATACATCTTGCTGGATGTATTTAATTTAGTAAAACCGGTGTTTTGTAAATTTTCTGAATCATATACCGCGGGCAGCCGTTTCAGATGTGAAAGCACTGATTTTTATCTGGACACTGAATGCATCCAGGTGACTACTGCAAATCCCATTGGCTCAACTAAATTCCAGCTGGATTTGGCTTTAGTAAATATGGAATTTTGTCATTTTTCTCAGGATTTTTTCCATCCTGACAAAATCCAGTATTTGGTGGCAACAGAGGGTTGTAGTCAATGAAGTATATTCGAAGCATGGGCTTGTCACCAGGGTACCTCAGGGATCTGTACTTGGACCCATTCTCTTTAATGTTTTTATTAGTGATATTGCAGAAGGTCTTGATGGTAAGGTATGTCTTTTTGCTGATGATACTAAGATATGTAACAGGGTTGATGTTCCAGGAGGGATAAGCTAAATGGCAAATGATTTAGGTAAACTAGAAAAATGGTCAGAGTTGTGGCAACTGACATTTAATGTGGATAAGTGCAAGTTAATGCATCTTGGACGTAAAAACCCAAGGGCAGAGGAAACATCTGAGGAAAGGGATTTAGGGGTGATTATTTCTGATGACTTAAAGGTAGGCATACAATATAATAGAGCAGCAGTAAATGTTAGCAGAATGCTTGGTTTTATAGGGAGAGGTATTAGCAGTAGAAAGAGGGAAGTACTCATGTCATTGTATAGAACATTGATGAGACCTCACTTGGAGTATTGTATGCAGTACTGGAGACCGTATCTTCAGAAGGATAATGATACTTTAGAGAGAGTCCAGAGAAGGGCTACTAAACTGGTTCATCGTTTGCAGGATAAAACTTACCAGGAAAGGTTAAAGGATCTTAACATGTATTGCTTGGAGGAAAGAAGAGACAGGGGGGATATGATAGAAACATTTAAATGCATAAAGGGAATCAACACAGTAAAGGAGGAGACTATATTTAAAAGAAGAAAAACTACCACAACAAGAGGACATAAGAGGGGCAAAAGTTTAAAAATAATATCCGGAAATATTACTTTACTGAGAGGGTGTTGGATGCATGGAATAACCTTCCAGTTGAAGTGGTAGAGGTTAACACAGTAAAGGAGTTTAAGCATGTGTGGGATATGCATAAGGCTATCCTAACTATAAGATAATGCCAGGGACTAATGAAAGTATTTAAAAAAATATTGGGCAGACTAGATGGGCCGAATGGTTCTTATCTGCCGTCACATTCTATGTTTCTATAGTGAATAATCCTGTATGTATATAGTAAGCTACGAAATATACTATTTTACCAGTATGCATTTTATGTGAGAACAGTGTTACTGGCAAGGATGCAGAGATGTATTTTTTTATATGCATTGTTTGTTGATGTTCCTGTGGGTTTGACACAAAATAGAGCATTCACTCATTGCTTTATGTAGTTTATAGATTGCCCCTGTCTCTTCAGTAACAATAAATACTGTTTGCTGTGGCCTTATTCGACTTGTCTCCTATGATTATAAATGAGATTATAAGTAAGGCACTGGCACAGTTACCAGAATCCAAATAGTGTTATGATTATTATGAACAGGGAAAGGTGTAATCAGAACAGAGATGTGTTATATTCCTTGTCATTTATTATATTTAAAAGATAAAATAAAAGAACATTGTCATACATGTTTTTTCCACAGAAAACTGATCATTGGCAAAACTACTTCATAAAACACAACTGATCAACATCAGTAGAATGTACACAGTTGCTAAAAAAATGGAGCAGCGATAAACAACCGAACAAAAAGAGTAGTAAAAAGGCAACACACGTCTGAACGTAGGAGATTCCCTCTAAAAACCCCTAAAAACAAGTGACAACAAAAACCCAATGTACAGGTCGTGCCAAGGATAAAATATAAAATTATAAATATAGATCAAAATATCATAAAAGGTACTATAACATAAATTAATAAAATTCTTGAAATTATACAAGATGGTGTACCAGAAATTTAAATATAGTCTCAGAACAGTGGTCGGTCTTGTCACAAATTTCTGTATTAAGTTTTGATCATGGCTTCATTCCATGACATCATATAAAAGAGAGAGAAAGAACCGCAAAAGACCAATAGTGCAATGTGTCAATTCAATAGTAGGACACACAACAGTAGTCCAATTGCCAGCTTACATGGGATGGAGTTTAAACCCGCTATAGATAGGTCTGAATACAGTGGTTTAGATCTCTGGCAATTGTACACAGTAGAGTAGCAGTGAGGTTGACCACATAGGAGAGAAGAAAAAAAAAGAAAAAAACATTTGTTCTGCGTATGAGTAAGTGTAAGAATAAGAATTGGAAAACTACTTATAATATAGTGAGCATACAGACTACTCTACGTTTAAGTGTAGGTGGAAAACCCCCCACCTAGGATTCTTTTGACGGTTGTCCGCAGGATGTCACAGGTAGTAGCAACAGATGCCAGGTAAGAAACAATATTCTGAAACAGGCCTCAAGCTATAACTGGTCCATGGAAGGTGAAGTCATTCCCGGTCACTCCCAGGACACTGGTCCTGCTGGAAGATCAGGCCGAGCTCCAGAAACCACTGTATGACCTCTCCATTTTTTTCAATGATTTTATTCACTTATGTTGTAGAATCTACCCAGTATCTGGTAAATGTATTTTTTTATGTTTTAAACTCCCCTTTAAAAAAGTTGGTTGGGAGGTGGGGCCGGGCCGCCGAGCTGATCGGTCGCAGAAAAGATCAGCTCCTGCAAACCACGATCTAATAAGCTTGTAAATTGTGATTTTGGACAAAATAAATGACTAACAACTGCAACCCTCAATGTGTACGGGCCACCGGATTTCTAGTCCCTCGGAGGGGAGATTCCTGCCGTATCAAACGGGACCTTACCTGGCCCAGACGGAGCCCGACAGTCACGCTGACCACAGGCGGACCTGGTCCTGATTCCCCCCCCCCCCCCAAGGGGCACCAGGCAGCCCTGCATAATCATCTCCACTCGCTGATCCCACCGAGCAGCAGAACAAAAGAGACACTGTATCCCTTACCGGCAGCTCAAGCAGCAGAGGAAATGCCATCACACGGGCTCGCACACCTACATGCCCACACGGAGAGTATGGCCCGCAGACAATGGGAGTTAGCCTCCACCGCCACAACGAGCCATGTAGACAAACTGGAGGAGCCACGCTGCCCAGCAAACGGGACCCTTACTCCACCTGAACCCACATGGTTACTCGTCTACTGTGAAAACACCGGAGGGGGATGAAGCCTAAATCTGTGAGCCAAGAGACTGGAAGCTATGACCCCCACAGATATAGAATCAACATTAGGCCCACTATTCATTAGGCGACAGAGAGAAGCATAACGCACATACCCACATATTTGCTACCAACCGACCCACAAACAACATATAACCCAGCACTACACAACACCATGGCAACATTCACCCCTTCAGCTACCTGGGATGGGAGGTGGGAGGGAGAGGGTACCTGCAGTGCCAAGAAAAAGGATTGTTTTCCTGGCACTGGAGTTTTCCTTAAAGCGAAACAACCTTTATCGTATACATACCTAGTGTTTGTTACTTACTATTGACTACTGCAATTGCCTAACTTGAACACTTCATGTTATAGCATGTTTACTACTTACCACAAATCGATGATGCCTCGGAGCTCGTCAATCCCATATTTTGAAAAAATGTGCTGTCTAAAATGCCGCAATGTGAAATGTTACGACTATGCTTGCAGCAGCTGTTGTGTCTCTGTATGTTTACTGTTACTCCAAGCACAAATAAAATAAACAATTTAAAAAAAAAAAATTCACTATACTTATTTTTAAGTGAAATATGGGGCAGATAATTTGGGACATATTACGGCACTTTAGATGCAATATTTCAAAGTTGGTTTACTAAAATTCACAAAATTGTATTATCCAAACTATTCAATATTCATATATCAGTCCGAATTGTTAAATGCCTAAAATGTCTAGGATCTAAATGGATTTTTGTTATTTAATACCAACTCAACCCCTTGCCCACTGCTTACAATAACTACCATATATTCTAGAGTAGAAGTTGACCCGAATAATAGTCGAGACCCCTAATTTTACCCCCAAAAACTGGGAAAAATTATTGACTCGAGTATAAGACTAGGGTGGGAAATGCAGCAGCTACTGGTAAATTTCTATATAAAATTAGATCCCCAAAAAATTATATTAATTGAATATTTATTTACAGTGTGTGTGTATATAATGAATGCAGTGTGTGTAAGAATGCAGTGTGTGTGTGTGTGTATGAGTGCAGTGTGTGTGATGCAGAGCCTTGGTGGGGTGGTGGGCATTTTTATTATTTTTTTAAATTATTATTAAGATTTTTATTTTAATATTATTAAAACATTTTTTTTTTTCGTCCCCCCCTCCCTGCTTGTTAGCTGGCCAGGGAGGGGGGCTCTCATTCCCTGGTGGTCCAGTGGTGTGCACTGTGTAGGAGGGGGGATGGCAGTGAGCTGTAACTTACCTTTCCTGCGACTCCTGTCAGCTCCCTTCTCTCTCCTCCGGTCCGGTTAGCTCTGTTCTCCTCCACTGTAAGTCTCGCGGCCGCGCGGAGCGTTCCCCGCGGCTCTCGCAAGACCGGAGGAGAGAGAAGGGAGCTGACAGGACCTGCAGGAAAGGTAAGTTACAGCTTGCTGCCAGCCCCCAACAGGACCGCTGGGCTTGTAATGAGCCGGCGGTCCTGGTCTGTATTATGGCAATGTAAGTTGCCATAATACAGACATTAACTCAAGTATAAGTCGAGTGGGGGTTTTTCAGCACAAAAAATGTGCTGAAAAACTTGACTTATACTCGAGTATATACGGTAACTATATTCCTACCCTAATCTTACCCTGAACCTTAAACTATCCCTAACCCTTCAACAGCAGTAATCCAAAACCAGTATTAACTCTTACCTTACCCTAACCCCAATCCTAACACTAAGGAAACCTTCTGCTAATATTAATTCTGATATAAGAATTGGGTTTCCTATTCAACAGAGTAGATACTGGTTTGTGACCGCCATCTACTGACCGTTTCCATACACCCACTGTAACTGAATGGAGTTGTTTCCAGAGACAGGGGGGCAGGCTAGGAGACCCTGCTATTCAGACCCTGGGGGGATTTTCTCTATACACAAATCTGCAGCCCAGAAAAACTGGTGTGGTGTTATGAATAGAGTTAAAGGGTGCTGCAGAGAGCTCATCGGTCAGCCTGGGGCCACTAGAGTATCCATTGTTACCTGTAGTTAGTGGTGTGAGCAGAGATTTAATCTTTTTCACACCGCAATCTATTTAAAGACCTGCATACAGTGCTGTCTTCCAGAGCTGAAACAGCTCATCAAAAAGTCTACGGCCACTAAAAATGGTCCCATCAGACAGGTATCCATTGAAACCTTTGGGGCTCCCTTGTATGAGCAGGGATTTAACCATGCTTACACCGGATCTGCAGGGTGTTTCATACTGTCCTACACAGAATGGGCTTAACTGCATGTAGGCTAGCCCGTAATGCCATGCAGATCTAATCCTATCTTCATTAAGGGTTAAGTTAGTTTGACCACAAATGTTGGGCTCACATGTCTAATATTCTCATTTTAACATTTTTATTTTTTTTTACTGCTTTTTAATCTTTGACAATTCCTGAAAGAAAATTATCCTGGAAACAGTGGTTTGCTAGTTTCCACACTAAGCTCCCCAACAATCCATGATTAAATACCATCTGGCCCTAAGACTTTTTTTTTTTATGTTAATGTTGGGTATTTTAAAAAAAATACTTTATCCTGTGCCAAATGTTTGCTGCAAGGCTTTTGTAACAGTGACTTTAAGATCTACAAGCAGTGGCTCTACTTGCTATCTACTGGCGAAGAAAAAAAACATTTACAATTTCTGACTGATCTTTAGGTATTTACACATACATCCATGAACATCTTTATATGTTTCTTGGTAAAAAAATAATAATAAAAAAACGCTTTTAAGCATTGGTAATGCCAATATCCAATAGCTTTTGCAGTTTTACTGGCAGGTTTACATGGTTGACCCCTGTTCAGGGATGGATTTACCCTTCTTACTGCCCCAAGGCCAGTATCCTCAATGCAACCCCAATATATATATTTATATGACTGGTGTGGGGTATGATTGAATGGTGAATGTGACTAGGTGGGTAGTTGGATGATAAGTGGGACAGGGCTGGCAGATAGTGAGTGTGTGTGTGTGTGTGAAGGCTGCTTGTCAATTGTATGTTTGCTGGGAATGCTGCTTGTGGAGCTGCATTATTGCAGGTGGCTGCCTGTTTTGTTACATTTGGGGCTGTGATGGGGCTGGTGCTATAGTGCAGGTCTGGACAAACCCAATGTGCCAGGTCCTGGGCCGCACTGGGGATACAAAGCAGCCCTGGAAAAAAATCTATGCCAGAGTAACATCAAAACCCGGCTCGCGGCATTACTAAACAGTGCGCGAGCGGGAGCTGAGCAGGGAGATGTCAGAAGCCCCACTGGGCGCCAGGGAAAGCTTATCCACTTTAGCTCTCCAAAGGTAGGGAGGATGGGTGAATTTAAAAAAAATAAAAAAAGTTATTATTTGTGATTGAGTGTGTGTTTTAGTGTGTGTGTGTGTGTATATGTCTGTGTGTGTGTGTGTATAAATGTGTCTGTCAGTGTGTGTGCCGATCACATGGGAAAGGTGTTTTGACTCCCCTTTTTTTCATACGCTGTACTGGTGATGATGCTGTGACCGGCCCCACCTCCATAGCTGAGGTCATCAATCTTGACGATCTCAGACAAACCAATGCTTCCCCATAGGAAAGCTTTGGGAGACTATGGCGCATCCAGAGAAAATACGACAACGCTAATCAACTTCTCATAGAGATGCACTGAATTAATGCATCCCTATAGGGAACATTAGTGTAGGTGCTGCATAGTGTGAAGCACTGACCCAGGAAGCACCTCTAGAGGCCGTCTGAGTGGCTGTCACTAGAGGTGTCACCAGGCCATAATAAAGTCCAGAAATAAATATACAAAATAATAGGGCACAGTCTTAGAGGTAACAACCCATCTTCGAGCTGTTGTACAGTACATATTAGGCAAATTTCCTTATTAGCAGCATATGTGGATTGTGCAGCCTTACTATAATGACTGAATCTTAAAGCTACACTCCAATATTAAACATTTCAATATTTAGACATTGTGAGTGTTCCTGTAACCCTATTGATCCCCAACATACATTTTACTAAAACAAAATTCTCCAGCTTCAAGTTCTCTATTTACGCTGCACACCTCCACCTCCAGGAGACTGAAATTGAAGACAGTGTCCCTTTGATTGCAGTGATCAACAAATGTAATGCTTCTATTAGCAATTATTAGACTAGTGGGTCTTTACAAAAGCTCTCACTTCTACTCAAACAATGAAAGTTGACTAATTCAGGAAAGTGCAGATTTCAAGATTCATGAGTTTGGATGAAGTGGGCTTTAGGGCTCAGGAGTGTACCTTTAAGTGATAATATACATTTCATTATATACGTTTGTAAATCCTTAATTTCACTGACAGAAAAATGGGCAAAAGAGGAATCTGAAAGGAATACTAAATAGCCTAACATGTTTCATATGTTAGTACTTTTTCAACCTCTATTGGATTTTTTTTAGTGATGGAATAAAGGATTTCTGAAATGATATGATCTGTGAGCAAGGCTCTTTGTTTGACATGCTTGTTGTGTGTTCCAACATGATGATGAAACTACTGCTGCAACTATTTACAGTCCAGCATATCTATTTGCATTTATTATGAGGCACTTATCATCTCCTACTAATCTCTAAAGGAGATGTTAAAACTTAAGGCAGCTTCTATTTAACCAATTACTAGTTTTGTACAATGGATAAAACCCAGTAATCGCCAACACGGATGTCCTCTATTTAAGCAATTGCTGACTATGAGAGAAGCTCTCATTCACTTCTACCAAGAAAATATTGTGTGGCATGGATAGAGGCATGGGGGGTGGCCAGATACATGGGCTATATGATGCGGGATCACCATTAGGCTACAAAGGAGTTAACAAACAAAAGTGAAATCACACGCATGAGTTTTTTAAAAAGGAAACTCACTACAAGGATTTTTCAACAAAGTCTGGGCTCCCTCTTTCTTTCTGTTCAGTTTCTTAGTACTCTGGTCAGATGAGCATTCTGGGTCTGCCTCCTATGTCATAACTCGTAATCCATTCCATAGAGTTCCCCTTTCTTAAATTACACATCCC